TATTTTATTGTTTTGGAAGTACAAATAACACGAAATAAATTGATAATATACCTATAGTAAAAAAAATTATTCAAACGTTCCAAATTTGATTTATTAGTCTACGTAATTTTTTGACATTGATTTTTTGACTTTAATTTTTTGACATTTGGCTAACTTTTGACAGACATCGCTAATATTTTATGTATACGTATCACAAAATACCTAATCATTTGTTGAACTATCGAAAATAAATACCATAAATACATTTTAGATAACTTCACACAATGGCGACAGAACCCTCAACTTTACATGAAAAGAATATTTCAAACAAAAGTTTGAGTGATCGTGAAAGGTATGTATTATTTTATGTTTGAGAAAAGTTTTGAAATAATATATAAATTTGAATTATTTCAGATGGATTTGTATTTATCCAGCATACATCAATAACAAAAAATCTCGAAACGAAGGACGCAAAATTCGCAAAGATTTATGCGTTGAAAATCCAACCTATCAAGAAATCAAAGATGTATTATCTGTATCGAATCTACGAATCGGCATTGAAAATAAAATGTTTCCACGTGAGAAAAGCAAGGTATATATGTAAATTGTGGGAAAAATTATCATTCAATTGTTTAATATTTTTCTGCAATATTGTATTTATAAAATAGGAGTCGCAACATCGCGGTCGCATACGTGTTCAATTGAAAAATGATGATGGTACACCATTCAATCCTGATTTTAAAACCAGAGAAAGCATTTTACTTCATTTGGGTGGTAAAATTTCATTTCTTACATATATATTTTATTTGAATTACAAATAACTCTATAAATTTGTAAGGCAATTGATCATTCATATATATAGATAATTTGTTTAACGTTAAAATATACTAACAACCTAATAACATTATTCTATCGAATTTCTTTCAAAAATTCAATTTTTCGAAATTTTAGGTAAAATTCCATTACTGAAATCACGACAATCATCTCATTCAAGTGATCCTGGACATCTCATTGCAAGTGGCTCAAAACGTGGAAAAGGAAAAAGACGTTGAATAAATTGTTAAAATCTCTTTAAATAAAAGAAAACATATTTTTTAAACGAAAATAATAAAGAATAAATTTTATTTTTTTATCTTAAAAAGTTATTCAGTAGAAAAGTGATACAAATTGAACAATGAATTTTATTTGTCAAGCACTACCAAATAATCTAAATTTATTCTCACACTCTTGCGGTTTTGCCTAAGTTGATCAGAAGAAAAGAATTGAAAAAATGGAAATTAATCAATGAGTTATCGAACGAAATGGAAAATGATATTAAAAAAAGAAAGTATATAGTTTAAGCGCCAAAACCAATGACCACAACAACATTTTGCTTTTATTTGAGATTTGGTAGTAGTAATAGTAGTAGTGTTGAGATCGTTGATCACTATGAAAAGAGAAAAAAATGCCATTAATATGCTTACTATTTCTAGTATTTGTTACCATCGTCCACTACTACGTTTGGTATCATTTTTTGAAACAATGAGATTCTCATTATGGGAATGTTCGCGTAGACGTCAATTTTTGATTTTTGTAATAATAATGGAGTTGATGCCTGAATGGTCGAAAACAATTTGGCATCGGTAGATGATTCAACATGTACAATCCTTTCTTAATCATATTTCTCGCTGCATTTATGTCACGATTGAATATAACTAATGTTTTTGGTTCCTTGTATCTATTTTTCTTTTGTCTTGTTTCTGGATTTGGATTCGCTTCTGAGCCGGTCGATGGAATGTACATTCGGATCGGTATTTCCATTCTCGATGTTTCTTTTTGTATGTACGATGAACGCTGCGTGTCCATTGAATTGGAACATGAAAAACGCCATCTTCGACCGGTTTACAGTTGTGGCAAACTGATTTTTTTTTGTTTGTTTTTTGGTTCGATAACGACGAAAAGAAAATACAATCAATAATAAAAAATTGAGGTATGCCATAAAAGGAATGATGGAATTCGTACAACGGTTCCCTTTAAAATACAAAATTCTTACCGGAAATTGATCACAATAGAATGATACACAAATTAAAAAAATTAAAATTTGAAATTGTTTTCATTGCTGCGATTTCTTTTGAACTTATTGACACAGCAAGCGTTTTTGTTAAATGTGAGCATTCAAATATTAACCTCACTTTTGACCTTAGATATGTACAAATGCCGTATAAGGCATCAATCTCTGCAACTTCACGCAATTGAAATGAATTTCAATTCATTTCGCAATTTGAATGTAGATGGTAATTGAAAATTCAATTCAATGAATTGAAAAAAAAAATGAAAATTTCAATTTGCATTATTTAATGGTAATTATAATTGAATGGATTGGCATTGAAAAATTCGAAATACTGCTCTCAACCAACCGATTCAATATGAAGAGCACATAAAGCGATGCCAATTTGAATATTTTTGAGGAATTGACCACAACTCGTTCAATCAAATCGCTCAGACGTTGTTTGTCTGGGAAAAAAATTTCATCGCGCAAAAATTGATTCAGTGTCATCACCACGGTGAATTGTTCTCGGTTTTTATTTCAATGTTTCATATTTGATTTTGCCGTTTCAATGGCTTTTTTGCCGAACTCGGCCGAAGTGGGTTTGCGACGTCGTTTCATCTTCTGTCAACTAAAATTCAGTATACTTAAACAAAAATTTTCGTCGATTTTCACCGAATAATGTATGCGTCCGACCACTTCAATTGTTGTTCACTGTATCCGTCTGTGTGTCTCACTTTGAATTGACTTGCTATAGCCACTAGCACTGTAGTTCTAGTTTCATGTTTCCAAATGAACAAAGCCGGTAACGGTACGTTGTTTTGCAGGATTTAGAAAACAATCGAACTGTTGTAGAATTATTGCGTAGTGACAGCATTCGTTGTGTCTTGATGAGTGTTCGCATGAAGCCAAAAGTTTGTTAACTTTTCAATCTGTTTGCAATTCAAACGCAGTTTTGTGGTTCTTCGTAGCGACAAACTGTACAAATCTTGTTTTCACTGACTGCCCAAAATAAAACGCACAATGTTTTCGCTGTGACGTTGCTGTTGTGTGTCGCTGTGACGTTGCTCATCTCTCTACTACAGACCAAATCTCAAATTTTTGTCAGCAATGTGTTTCCTATTTCCTATGTGTGTGCGTTTGTGTGTAGTCCAACTATATAGTTTCTTACATTGTAATGGTTTCCCAATCATCTCTCACTCACTCACTCAGTCATTCATTCGGCCACACAGGCTCACTGTCATTACTCCCACGGATGACAACTTCATCCGTATCCGTCACAGATGCGGATATATATTTTATCCGTATCCGTTAAACTAAGCTTGCGAATACGGATGAATTGTATGTCCGTGGGATGTGTATCCGTGAAGAATTCTTAATACATCCGTCGCTATTTCTGTATTCACGGATAAAATATTTATCCGCATCCGTGAACAATTTTTTTTATTGCTTTTATTCAACGTAAGTTTTGATGTAGTTCTAAATTTCTTTTCCGTACACTCTACGCATTAAAGTATTATAATCAGCTCAAAATTGTGAAATGCACAAAAATCATTTTTCAACGCGTTTTGACCCTAGAGATTCAAGAACAACGGTT